TAAAATTTTCATAATATTTATTTTATATAACAAAATTAATTATTTAAAACAATGTTTATAAAATTCTTATGAAGAATTCCATTACTTTCAAAAATAACAATTCAATTGTTTACATAAATAATAATTTTCTTCTCAGGAATTCAATTATTTTTGAAAATTTTATTAGAACTCTTAGCAACTATTCAATTACACAGCCACACAAAAAAAAGTTCTGATCTGGGGGTCTCACTATGTAGACTTTATGGTTTTTGGGTCGCTGAATCCGAATCCGAGGTCCATTTAACCCCATCAGATCAGGATTTTGACATAACCTCAAAAAACCAATATAGCGGACACATTTTTGAAAAGTTTATCGGATTCGCTTGAAATTCGTTACTCGGGGGTTTTTGGGGTCGCTGATTACGAATTTAAAGTCTAATTTCAAAAATTCAAAATGGCGGATCCACTATGGCGGACACGTTTTTGAAAAATTCATCGGATTCGCTTGAAATTCGTTACTCTGGGGTTTTTGGGGTCGCTGATTACGAATCTGATGTCGGTTTTTCAAAATTCAAAATGGCGGATCCAATATGGCTGACACAGACATATTGGATCCGCCATTTTGAATTTTTGAAATCTGACTTAAAATTCGTAATCAGCGACCCCAAAAACCCCAGAGTAACGAATTTTAAGCGAATCCGATGAATTTTTAAAAAACGTGTCCGCCATTTTGAATTTTTGAAATCAGACTTTAAATTCGTAATCAGCGACCCCAAAAAACCCCGAGTAACGAATTTCAAGCGAATCCAATGAACTTTTCAAAAATGTGTCCGCCATATTGGTTTTTTGAGGTTATGTCAAAATCCTGATCTGATGAGGTTAAATGGACCTCGGATTCGGATTCAGCGACCCAAAAAACATAAAGTCTACATAGTGAGACCCCCAGATCTAAACTTTTTTTTGTGTGGCTGTGTTATTTTCATAAATAATAAAATTCATCGCAGGATTTCAATTATTTTTAATATAATTTTACAGGAATTGCTCAAAAAGTGCAATTATTCTTAAAAATTTAATTTCAATTCCTCAAAAAAATCAATTATTTAAAAAAATGTTTTTTTTAAATTCTTTGGAAGCATTCAAATATGTATTTACAAAAATATTAGAATTTTGAAAGAAATCAATGATTTTAAATACAATTTAATAATTGTTTGTTCAATTTGTAATTCGATTTGTTTGAAATAATTCAATTATTCTGTTAGATATTAATAAAATTCTTCAAAAGAATACAATTATTTACATAAATAATTCTTTGAAAGAATTCAATATTATGTCGATAAATAACAAAATCATTCCCAAAAATTAAATTTTTTTTAGGCATTTTAATAAAATTCTTTGCAAACTTCAATTACTTTCATAAAAAACAATATTCATCACAAGAATTCAATTATTTTCAAAAGTAATAAGATTCTTTGCAGAAATTCAATATTTTCAAAATTTTCTTTTCAATTTTTATCAAGATTTCAATTATCTGAGTAAATATAGTAGGTAAAATAATTCGTAGAAATTCAATTGTTTGAAAAATTTTTCATAAAATTTCCATTATTTCCAGAAATAATAAAAATTTTGCAGGAATTCAATTATTTTCAATAAAATTACTGGAAAAAATTTTTCGCAAGAATTCAATCAATTTTAATAAAATATCTCGAGTAAATTCAATTCTTTTTAGAAATAATAAAATTCTTGGTAATATTTCAATTATTTTTAAAAATTATTTCAAAAAGTTAAATTATTTCCATATAATATAATAAAAATTTCACAAGAATTCAATTATTTACAAAATAATTGGCATTAATTTTTATGAAAAAAATCAATTATTTAAACATATTTTATAAAATTCTCCGCTTTAATTCAATTATTTTCATAAATATCAAAATTCTTTTTAGGAATTCAATTTCAATTATTTTTAATACATTTTTAATTGAATTCCTCGAAAAATGTAATTATTCTTGAAAATTTTATTAAAATTCGTCAAAAGAATTCAATTAGGTACTTAAAAATTTTAGGATAATTCAGTATAAAAAAAATTAATTTCAATTCTTTCAAAAAATCAATTATTTAAAAAATGTTTTTTTTAATTCTTTCTAAGAATTCAATTATTTATATAAATAATTTAATTCTTTCTAAGAATTCAATTATTTATATAAATAATTCTTGGAAAGAATTCAATTATGTCGATAAATAACAAAATTATTTCCGAAAATTCAATTATTTTGAGGCATTTTAATAAAATTCTTTGCAAAATTCAATTATTTTAAAAAATTCTAATAAAATCGTTCGCAAGAATTCAATTATTTTCATAAATAATAAAATGTTTTTTAGGAATTCAATTAGTTACAAAAAAGTTGTATAAAATACCACACAGACACGAAGTAGTATATGGAGACTTCACGGCCGTGTATAACTGAGAAAAACATGGCCCCACAATAGGGCGAACGATATACCGAGTTTTCCGGTAACCCGCTGATGAGCGCGCCCTCACCGTCAAAAAATATAATTAAAAAGTGCTTGTTTTGTATCGTCTGCTTTTGTTTTGACATTTTGAGCATTTTCACAAAATTTGCGGAATAAGAAATGAAAGAATATTATTTTCAAATAAGTGTTGTGTTTAATTTGTTCAGTAGAAATCGATTTATTTTTCACAATTGATTGTGTAAGTAAAATACATTTTCATTCATGTTTTGTTATGTATGTATAAGTGCTCTGAAGGCAATTGTGATCTTTGAAATTGTTTTTTACAAATTTTAAATGTGAGTTTCTGTGTAGAATAATCCATATTTTTGCCTTTCCTTCTCACTGCTAAATAAAATACTTTACACTGCTGGTAAAGTTTATTGTTTTTATTTTCTTACAGAAACATAACCTAAAACAAATATAATTTCGTTTAAAACACGTCATTCAATAAAAAAAATTATACTACACATTATTATGAAAAAAATAATTTTTTATACATACTGTCTGTTTAATTTATTTTCCATAATCTATTTCCAGTATTAATTAATATTAATATATTTATCACTTGCACTTATAGATACACACATCTCACATGAAAACGAGGTCGCGCTCAACAGTGGGTTACCGAAAACTCTGTATATCATTCGCCCTATTGTGGGGCCATGTTTTTCCGGCCGTGAAGTCTCCTTATACTACTTCGTGTTGTATACTTATCGCTGAGAAACAGTGAAATTTCGCTTATTCAAATTTAGAGAGTAAGGCCGTGTCAACAACAGAAGTTTTAGTGAACAACAACGCGCAAGTTGCATGCAACTGTGCGCGTAATTGCCAACCACTGAAAGTAAAATACTTGTTGGTTCGCTCCGCCTGCTTTGAATTTGTTTACTTTTACATAACCTCCAATTTATATTTTTACAAAAATTTTTTTAAATTATTGAATTCTGCTTGGAAATTTTATGAAAATACTAGATATTAAAAGTCAATGAATTACGAAAAGTTTTTTAAAATAATTAAATTTAACAAAGAATTCTATTAAAATTTTTGACAATAATTTAATGTCTGTGTGAACGAAGTAGTATAAGGAGACTTCACGGCCGGAAAAACATGGCCCCACAATAGGGCGAATGATATACAGAGTTTTCGGTAACCCACTGTTGAGCGCGACCTCGCCGTGAAAATATATAACTACGTTGCGTCGTCTGCTTATTGTTTTCATGTGAGATGTGTGTATCTATAAGTGCAAGTGATAAATATATTAATATTAATTAATACTGGAAATAGATTATGGAAAATAAATTAAACAGACAGTATGTATAAAAAATTATTTTTTTCATAATAATGTGTAGTATAATTTTTTTTATTGAATGACGTGTTTTAAACGAAATTATATTTGTTTTAGGTTATGTTTCTGTAAGAAAATAAAAACAATAAACTTTACCAGCAGTGTAAAGTATTTTATTTAGCAGTGAGAAGGAAAGGCAAAAATATGGATTATTCTACACAGAAACTCACATTTAAAATTTGTAAAAAACAATTTCAAAGATCACAATTGCCTTCAGAGCACTTATACATACATAACAAAACATGAATGAAAATGTATTTTACTTACACAATCAATTGTGAAAAATAAATCGATTTCTACTGAACAAATTAAACACAACACTTATTTGAAAATAATATTCTTTCATTTCTTATTCCGCAAATTTTGTGAAAATGCTCAAAATGTCAAAACAAAAGCAGACGATACAAAACAAGCACTTTTTAATTATATTTTTTGACGGTGAGGGCGCGCTCATCAGCGGGTTACCGGAAAACTCGGTATATCGTTCGCCCTATTGTGGGGCCATGTTTTTCTCAGTTATACACGGCCGTGAAGTCTCCTTATACTACTTCGTGGTATACAACTAATTCCAAAAAGCGTATATACGCTAATTGATTAGTGAAATTTCACTGATTTTTTAGGGAAATTTCACTAATTCGCAGCGTATATACGCTAATTGGAATCAGTTGTATACTTATCGCTGTTTCAGATTTAGAGAGTACACTGGAAAATACTGTGATACTCAGGGTGAAGTCCCATGGCAGCGTTTTGCGTTGCGTTTTGTAACTAGGCCATGAGTGCAAATATAGCAAACCTATATCTCCATCTCTCTCACACTCATTGCCTAGTTACAAAACGCTGCCATGGGACTCCACCCTCACATGAAATCTTTTTGCCGACACAGAATTTTGAAGTTAGTTCAGAGTAATTTTGAATCTTCTTTCAGAGTGATTTTGAATCTTCTTTCCGTGTAGGAACCTATAAGGTTTTCTAGTAGGGTTAAACTGAAACCTGTACATAAGCTTTCACTAGAATTTTTAATTGGGTAGCACATATAATGACAACAACTAAAGTATTTAAAAATTTATTTATAATAAATCTTTATGTATTAATTAATTTTAATGTTTTTTACTGTAGAGAATAATACTATCGGGAAGAAACATTCTGCTATCTTAAAATATTATTACAGGTCAAGTACAATCACTAGTACAACATCAAATAGCGGTTTTGCTTCATTCGACCAGCAATCAGTACAGCCTTACCAAGATGCCAGTTACCAAAGCAACCCTGCTGAAGAAGCTTGCTACATGAATGTGAACATTACCAATGATTCTAGTTCTGTATCTCCTTCCCATAGTACATCAGATTTTACGCCATTGGGAGATGAGTATAATCCAGTAGATTCAATAGAACATCCCTACATGAATATAAATCAAGGCCAAGAAATAGATATCCAAATTACGAAAACTCGACCCCCACCTTTACCACGTTTACAGTTGGAATGGGAAGACACTTTTAAACACTCCTACGCAAATTTACAATCGAGTGAAATAGAGAGTTTAAGGAAACGATTTTCAGGTTCTTCCATAGCCGAAAAATCGCCATTGCCTCCATCAACTCCACCGTCTTCTTGTGTTATAAGAGAAGTAAATTATGCTGTTTTGGATTTAGATAAGAAAGAAATTTCTGAAAATTTCATTAGTGATTCTACAACTAACACAGTCTCTATACCTCCAGAATCGCCAAACAAAACTGTGAAAGGATATGCTGTTATAGATTTCAATAAAACAGCAGCTCTTTCACATTCTGTAAATTCTAATCTCGTGAACGACAATGAAGGTTCACGAATAACTCGACATAATTCAACAATAAGCGATATAGCTATTCCACTTAAATATAGTTCGTTTTTAAGCGAGTGACATTATTATTGTTATTTTTTACGAGTACAAATATTTTTATACATCATACTCTCACTCTGCAACATATTATCATAATTTTTCATTTTTTATTAGTTAAATGAAAATGTATAAAAAAACAATCAACGAATTTCAAAATTACTTATTCAACGAAACATTTGTCTACATTCTTATGAAGCTTTTCTACTAATAGTTAATTATGTAGTAAGAGTTTCGGATTAAATTTTTCTGGCCTAACATGAGAGTGTACTGTATATTACATTAAATTTAATTAAGTGCAATAAATTAGACCAAATATTAAGAAAATTTTTTAGAATTAATTCAGGGCGTAGATTCAAGGAGGGCATTCAAACGTATCTATATTGTCCTTTTTGAGATAAGGTGACTAAAAGTATCTACAATTAAAAATTGTTAAAATGCATAAATAAATGTTTCTAGTAACTAGCATGAAATTAACTAAGATAATATTGATATTTTTTTCAATAAAAGTTAACAATAAATTAAGTTTTTAGATTTCTACTAATTTTATTTGTTACAACATAAACAGGGTTGCCACAGGTCAGGGAAGTCAGGGAAATCAGGGAAAAGTCAGGGAAAGTAAAATTGGTCAGGGAAGTCAGGGAAAAGTCAGGGATTTTTACTAAAAGTACTGGAAAAAATTGAATTTTTAAAATTCATGAGAAAACTCTGAATTTTTTTCCTTTTTGCCTCGTAAACTATGAAATTACCTCGAATTTAATAATTTAATACAAAACTTTCAATTTTTTCAATTTCTGACAATAATTTCTTTTTAAATAACTTAATTTTTCAAAAACTATCATAAAATATGACTTACAAATTATTTTATAAACAATTTTTACAATTTTCATAAATACTAGATTCATAGAAGAATTTCAGTTAAAAATACTAAAAAAATTGGATTTTGGAAAAGTTACGAATGATTACAGAAATTCAATTATTTTCAAAAGTTACAAAAATTCTTCGCAAAATTTCAATTATGTTCAAAAATTAAAAAAGAAATATTGTCAAAATTTCAATTATCTTTATAAATAATAAAATTCTTCATCGAAATTCAATTATATTTAAGAATTTTAATAAAATTCTTGTCAAAATTTCGTAGGAATTCAATTATTCAATTTTTAATAAATCAATTCAAAATAATTCCATTATTTTAATAAGTAATAAAATTTTCACAGGAATTCAATTAGTTAAAATACAAAATTTCATAAAATTCGTCACAAGAATTTAATTATTTAAAAAAATTTAACATAGTTCTTTTTAAGAATTCAAATATTTTTATAAATAATAAAATTCTTCACCGAAATTGAATTATTTTTATAAACTTGAATAAAATTCGTTGTAAGAATTCAATTATTTATATAAATAATAAAATTTTTCTCCGACATTCAATTATTTTCAGGGCTCGGATCGTCTTTAAGACTCAAAAAAAAGTCGCTTTAGTCGCATAAATACACAACAAAAGTCACAAAAAGTCGCATAAAATTTCCAAAAAAAGTCAGAAAAAAGTCGCATGAAATTTTAGAAAAAACGACAAAAAGGAAACACGAAATTGTCAAAATTGTAAAAAAAAACACATTTCTCGACAACAGATACATTAATATCAAATAATGAGCAATAAAATTTTTAAAAATTAAATAAAATTCATAGCAAAATTTTAATTAGATATTTTTAACATTTTTTTAAAAATTCTCTTTAAAATGTCAATTGTTTTTATAAATAATAAAATTCATCTCCGAAATTCAATTATTTGACAAAAATTTTAATGAATTTCTTGTCCAAGTTTCAATTATCTTTATAAATAATAAAATTCTTCTCTGAAATTCAATTATTTTCAAAAGTAATAAAATTCTTCGCAGAAATTCAATTGTCTTCAAAAGTAATAAAATTCTTCGCAAAAATTCAATTATTTTCACAAATTTGAAATAAAATTCTTCTTATGAATTCAATTATTTTCAAATATTAATAAAAATATTTGTAATAATTCAATTATTTTCAAAACGTTTAAAAAAATTTTACGCAGAAATTCAATTATCTGCCAAAATTAATAAAATTATTCACAGGAATTCAATTATTTTTTAAAATTAATAAAATTCTTGACAAGAATTCAATTATTTTTAAAAACTTTTAAATTCTTGACAGTAATTTTTTTTTATAAATTAATAAAATTCTTCACAGGAATTGAATTATTTTTCAAAAATAATTGAACTCTTCGCATGACATCAATTATTTTCGAAAATTCATCAAATTTATCGTAAGAATTCAATTATTTTCAATTATTACTAAAATTCTTCTAAAGAAATTCAATTATTTTGAAAAATTTTAATTAAATTAATGATAAGAATTAAAAATTAATTAATTAATTGTTTTTAATACAAATTTTTTTTCGCGAAAGTTTAATTATTTTAAGGAATTTTAATAAAATTCTTCGCAAAAATTCAATTATTTTCAAAATTCAATTGAATTTTTTACGGGAAATTAATTTTTTTCAAATATTAATAAAAATCTTTGCAAGAATTCATATATTTTCATAACTTTCAATAAAATTCTCCACAGAAATTCAATTACCTATTCGACAAAATTAATAAAATTAATCACATGAATTCAATTATTTTCAAAAGTAATAAAATTCTTTTCTGAAATTCAATTATTTGCAAAGAATTTTAATAAAATTCTTGTCAAATTTTCAATTATCTTTTTAAATAATATAATTTATCCTATAAATTCAATTATTTTCAAAAGTAATAAAATTCTTCGCAGAAATTAAATTATTTTCAAATTTTTTTTTAATTTCTCGTTAAAATTTTTATTATCTTCATAAATAATAAAATTCATCCTGGAAATTTAATTATTTTCAAAAGTTCTGATCAAATTTTTTTGCAAAATTCAATTATCTTCAATAGTAAAAAAATTCTTCACAGAAATTCAATTATTTTCAAAAAATTTTTTTAATTCTCTTCAAAATTTCAATTATCTTTGTAAATATCAACACTCTTCTGCAAAATTCAATTACTTACTAATGTTTTATAAATTTCTTCCCAATAATTCAATTATTTGCATTTTATCACTCAGTCATCTTTAATTATTATAAAACATGAAGACATCGATTGCTCCGAGTCGAAGACTCGGAGTGATCGATTTCTTCTTGTTTAATAACAATTTTTTTAAAGTTGATTAATTTGAAAAAGGTTTGAATTTGAATCTTTTGAAGAATTTTAATTCCTATGGAAAAATAATATTTAAATATTTATTTTAAAAAAAAGTTATTGATGTTTTCAAAAAATTTGTAAATAAATGTAACAGAACATTTTTTTGACTCAAACTTTTTCATTTAATTTAAAAAAAATTTAAATTTAATTCGCATTTTACTAAAAAAAAGTCAAAAAAGTCGATTATTCGCATTTTTTCACAAAAAAGTCGAAAAAAGTCGAAAAAGTCGCACAATCCGAGCCCTGTATTACATTTTTTTTAAATAATTGAATTTTTTGTGAAATTGTACTTCTTGTAAAAATAATTGAATTCTTGCGAAGGATTTTTTTTAGGATTTTTGTAAATAATTAACTTATTTTAAAAAATTTTATGGCAATTTAAATTATTACAAAACATGAAGAAGACGATCACTCCGGAGTGATCGTCTTCTTCATGTTTTGTAATAATATTCTTATAAGTTGTTGAATTTCAAAAAGGTTTAAATTCGAATATTTTGAAGAATTTTAATTCCTACAGAAAAATAATAATGATTAAATATTTATTTAAGAATGAAGTTATTGATGTTTTTAAATAATTTTACAATAAAAGAAGTTTGTAAATAAATGTAATAGAACATTTTTTTTGAGTATCTAATAATTTTTAGAGTGAATCAGAATATTCTTTATGGTCAGGGAAAAAGTGAAATTTTTTTCTGGAAATCAGGGAAAAGTCAGGGAAAAATAAAATTAAATATTTGTGGCAACCCTGATAAATACAAGGTCACAAAATATTTCTGAATTTCATAAAAAAAATTTCAGTTACATAATTACAAATTTTTTGTATTTTTTTAATTAACCTTCGCATTACTGGATATTTTTTGTGTACGCAGACCAGAAGGGGACTACCCGGAATATCCAAAACAATTTTTTAACTATGGTAAGTCCGGGAGATAAATTCTTGCTTCATCGTTTATGACTCCGAGCAAAGCAAGATCCAAAAGTTTTTTTGCGCAATGTTCAATGAATGTGTTTCTTTTTAATTTGTCGGATCAGCTTTTTTATTAAGATATCTAAAAAAATGCTCAAAAACCAATACACAGAAAAAGTAATCTTAATTCTAAGCAGGACTACTTTTAAAATCAGTCTTAATTTAAGTCTGTAAGAATATTTTAGCCTTTAATTAACTTAAAAGTATTGCTAAGATGCCTTAAGGTATAGTATTATACTTTGTAAGCAGTCAAAAATGACTTTAAACAAGTTTTTTCTTAGTAATAATTTTATTTAAAGCAATAAAACTTTTTACATCACCTTATTTACATTTTCCCCTTTCAAGAATAAAGAAAATTATTTTTACTTTGCCCGTTTCAGCATTTTGAGTCGTAATTTAAAAAGAAAAAATAGACAATGGCATTTAGGGAGGATGCCTGAGAGCTTTCATAACGAAGAAATTGATTAAAGATTTTTTAAAATCAGCTAAAAAGGACCCATATGGAAATTTTTATGGGTACCAATCTAATTTACCATATGGGTTCCCATAAATTCCTATATAGGATCCAATGTGGTTATATATGTTCCCATGTGGGTTGACACTTTTATTTTATGTAAATTATACACCAAATATATTATATTTGGTGAGAGATCCTATATATGGCACATAGGTTCACATAGGTTTCTAATTAAAACATAATAACTCATATGGGAACATATTTGGAATCCCATTTAAATTATAAACTTGAAATATAAAAACCTATATAGTGTTACGTCCGTAACCTATTACTCTATAAATTATATTACTAATGTATGTGTGTTGTATTTACCTTATATATTTTTAACTCTTATAATCTATATTTTAATTATTGCATTATATTCAGTATATTTCTCTATTAAAATATTGTAATTATCATTTATACAATTTCTATATTAGTATTATATTTAATACATTTTTCTATTTTAATATTGTATTCTATTGTCATATATTATTTGCATATTTATTACTGTATGTATTTTACTATATATTTTGAAACTGTAACAATCCAAGAAAGGAAAGTAATATTATTACTCATGTAAAAAGAATAACGATGAAGCGACAATTCGACAACCTTCTAAAAACGTAGGCCGGACGAAAGAAAGGAAAAGCAGCAAACCCCGAGAAGTTTAGGTGAACAACAAACGCCGAGCAACTTAACGAAAGGGCGATACGTACAATCTCCCGGAGGAAATATCAACAACACATAGAGAAATTCTTTCGCTATTAACTAGCACAAGGAGAAACAAATTTTAGCACGTGTACAATTTTTC